GAAGACGAAAATCCAAAAGAACCCAAGGAAGACGAAAATCCAAAAGAACCCAAGGAAGACGAAAATCCAAAAGAACCTAAGGAAGATGAAAATCCCAAAGAACCTGAAAATCCAAAAGAACCCAAGGAAGACGAAAATCCCAAAGAACCCAAGGAAGATGAAAATCCCAAAGAACCTGACAACCCCAAAGGAAATGATGAAATTCCATGTAGCGAAAATGGTATAATGGTCTGTGGTAAAGAAGGTGAAAGTGGTGAATTCCTTACATGTGATAATGGTAAAATGGTTTCAAGAACTTGTCCCGGAGTACTAACATGCAAGCAAAATGGTAAATCAATCTTGTGTGATTTTCCAAATAGAAGATAAAACTATCACCATTCGAATCATAAGGCCGTTTTTTTTTAAATTTTTTATTAATAATAAGAAGAATTATAGTGTGTTTTTTTTTTTTAAAAAAACAAAAAAAAATTGAACTTTGTATATTACATTCAAAAAAAAAAAGAAAATAACTTAAAAACCTGTATAATACGGGAAAAAGTATATTATATTAATATACGGGAAAGTGTTTGGATAAATATTTTTGGATCAAAAAAAGTTTCTTTTTAAAAATAGCATTTAAATGAAAATCTCATTAATTCCGTTTAAATTATATATATTTCTCTAGTTCATTATCGTAAAGTAGATATTTAATTGCTATATTCCTTTCATTCTTTCAAAAAATCTTTATGGGGGAAATTTTTAAAAAAATCTCCTTATAGATAGATAAATAGAATTGTTTTTTATAATAAAAAAATATTTACGATTCTAAATCAAAAATTAGTTAATTAATATAATGTACATAATTTACTAATTGGCGCTCACTGTAAAAAAAATTTTACCTTTGCTTTAGGTGGAAATATTATTTCTCTCGAGAATACAGTATAATCTTTCAAAACCTAAAATTAATGTGGAAACTATTAAAACTCGAACCAAACAAATCGAAATTTTTATCGAGATTCCCAAATCACTATTTATATTAATTACGAGTATAAATTTTTAGAAAATTTACATTAAATGACATTTTAATTAACTGATTCTTTAGATATTATGAACATTTATTAATCTCATTATAATAATAAATCTTTCTTTCTTTATCGTATTCAGTATCTTTACTATATTTTTTTTATTTTATTATATATTATCTAAAATTTACAAATTTAGTTAGTTTATCCAGTGATACTTATTTTTATGAACAATTTTTTATCGTTATTTCAAATTTAACAATTATAAATTTTTGCTCATCACAAGTGAGGGTGCTGCTGTGACAAATAACGAATGACAAATAAGATTTCACACCCTAAAAAACCAAATTACATAGTAAAAAATGAAACCCCGGAAAGGAGTGACGAGGGTGACAGTTTATTTGTATAAATCACGTGTCCGAGGTGAATTTTCCCAAAGATTATCGGATCATCTTTATTATTCGGTAAAAAAAATTTTTAAACTCGCACTTATCTAACTTTTAAAAACTCTAACTTCATTCGGATTTTGGTAGAAGTGATAAGTTATAAGGAATGTGTTTTTTTTTTTCTGAAGAGAATTTGATATTAGTAATATAATGATTCTTGAAATTCTAATATCAGAACGTACTTTTTAGCTGGTGTAATAATGGGTTTGTGTAGAAGCATTCTGCAAAAAGATATGTATAATTTATCTTTTGTAATCAATTTTAATAAATAAATTAAATAATCAAAAATTAACGAATAATATATTATTTATTTTATGCATTTATACTTTTATTTTATAGATATATAGTATTTTGAAATTAGCATAACAAAAATTATATAATAATCATTTTTTTTAAAAAATCATTTTCCTATTTTCAAAACAATTTTCTATTTACCATAATTTAAAGTTTCACAATGTTACATTTAGCAGAACAAATTTATAAAAATTTTAAATGAACTTAGTGTAATCCTTTAAGTAAAAAATTGAACACGGCTCGTCCTCAACTCTCCAATTTGAGAAATCAATGCTGGGATGCGAAGAACCAGTGGGTTCAATTTCTAAGTTATAGGATTTTACTTTATCATTTATTATTATATGATTTTACTTTTTTTATTTATAAACAATTATTTACTTTACCTTTTAATTTAAATTTTTACAATGCATATATAGCAAAGCAAATTTGTAAAATTTTAAATGATTCTAGTATAATCCTTTAAGTAAAAATTTGAACACGGTTCGTCATCAACTCTCCAATTTGAGAAATCAATGCTGGGATGCGAAGAACCAGTGGGTTCAATTTCTAAGTTATAGGATTATAGGATCATTTATTATTAATTTAATATATCGATATGTTTTAGTAGGATTTAATTATTATTTAATTTAATTATTTATTTTTTTTATTTATTCATTTAATAAAATTCTAATATTTTTAAAGATTTATTTTTAAGTTAGCAAAGTTTAAATTAAAATTTTTTTCAAAGGTTTTTTTTTTTATATTATTTTACTTATACAGACATAAAAGGAAAAATTATTAATAAGAATTAATTGGTTCTTTTCTAAAAACCAATAACTTATTTTATAATATTGCTAAAAAAATTTTATAGATTATAAATAAATATTTATTCTAAAATAAAAAAATTCTCATAATCATAATTTTCATATATAATTATTATTACTAATTTATATAAATTTTTATAATAAAGATATTAAATCTAGATTTTATTTTAATAAAAAAAAAGAAACATATTTAGTTTATAAATTAAATTTTGATTGTTTTTAAAATGTTTTATTACAAAATATATAAGATGAAAGTTGAAAAAAAAACAAATTAATATTTAAATACCAATCCCAATATGATCATCACTAAATTATTATGCAGATCTGAAAGACAAATTTTAATGAATAACTATGAAATAAATATAATTGCCAAAAGTACTAAAAAAAAAAAAAACTCAAATATTACATAACATATAAAAATCATATATAGTTCGCTTCTATATAACCTATTTGATTATAATATCAAAAAAAAAACTAGCAGATCTTATTATATAAAAAAGACTTTTAGTTTAGTCAATATTAGATTTTACTTATAAAAAAACTATACTAAAACATTTGCTGATTTAAAATAATTACATTACGTTAAAAATTTAAACTAAAATTCTTTATTTATAATTTATTTGTGATTTTTCAAAAACTCTATTTCTTTTAAAGCATAAAGTGAAACTGAAGTTTTGAAAGTCCTAATATAATTTGCAATTCAGTTTAAATAGTTAAAACTTTAGAAAGTATCTTTCTTTTCAATTTCTTCTTATAATGCATATTATAAGATTATTATACATTTCTAATACAGATATTTTATTTTTTTTTATCAATATTTCCGTTCAAAAATATTGTATTTATAAGTGCTTTAATTTTTAATTTTATTTTTTTATTACTTTTCATTGATTTAATACTTTTTTAAAGCCTATCCTGCAAAAAAACTATTATATCTATAAAAAATATTAAAATATTAGTAAACAACTAAAAACACAAGATTGTATATATAAAATAATAAACTTTATATAATATTTTGCAAAAAAAAAAAGTTTTATTATTTAAAAGTTCAACCAAATTCACATAAGCAGAAAAAATTATATTTAAATTTAGAAATTAGATTAGTATCTATATATAAAATGAGATAATAAAAGAATCATGTAAGTACTTATCAGATTTATTTTTATCTTTTATATTAAAAATTGTCTACTTTTGATGCTAATAAAATAACAATTTTAGGATTACATTTAAAATTAACTATCATATTTAATATATAAATCTTCCTTATTATTTTTTAGTATCAAAGCTATTTATAAGTTAGTTGCTTTAGAAAGTATAGTAAAATTAGAAATTAGTATTATAATTAGAATTTTTTCTATTTTTTTCATTTTTGCTGAAGTTATTAATATCTATTTATAAGATATAAGCTAAAATAAGACTTTTATTAGGATTATTAATTAGTCAAGAATACTTATTTTAATTATTTATACTAGTTATTATTCTAAACTTTATCTTTTGATCTTTATTAAAAAAAGTTGATTTTACTAACATCTAACATATAAATTATTTAATTTAGTTTATAAGATACTTATAAGATTCATATTCAGGTATCAATTATAGAATTCATATTTCTATTATATTTTAAATTACTTTTAAATATTCTTTCCATCAGCAATATTTATTTCAAGTCTTATATAATGTTTTATAACTTGAAAAATCTATGAAAAATGAAGTAAATTCTGTAATTTTCAAATTATTTATTTTATTTTCTGATTTTTTATCAATTTTTATTGATTTACTAATTACTAATTTTTTTTTGTATTATAATTTTTAAATTTATATTACTTGAGTATAATGGGAATTTATGAAACTTTTTGCTTCTTCAGCTTTTAAAATATCTATCACTTTATTTCTACATTATATCAATTATACTAATAGGAAAGTATAATTATCAATTATGTATTATGATAATATAATCTATTATCTGAAATTATGACTATTCATTTAGGTCATGATTTAAGATTTTTATTACAGTATGAAGAGAAAAAATGATAAATTAAGCATCTTACTTGATATTATCTAACTAATGATCAAATGCTTCAATATTATATTTATATATCTTTATTTTTTTGATAAATTAAAATTGAATATAAGATCTACCCATGTTTTTCAAAAAATTCTGATTTTATTCATAAGCAGTTTGAAAAAGAATTTTCAACAATAAAAATTATATCATTATCATCTAATTTTTGAAGTTTAATAATAAACTATAAATTTAGATAAAATTTTCTTATAAGATAAAATAATCAAAATATCAATTGCTTTAGTTTAAAATATATAAACTCATGATATTTAACTGATAATTTATTTTTTATAAGTTTAAAAGTGAAAATAATTTATCACATTGTAAACATATATTAACATATAATTCTAAATATATTTTAAATGTATAGACTAAATAATAACTTATATAAGAATTGTATTTTAGATTTTTAGTAATATCAACTTTTAATTTTCTTTCAAAATCTTTTCTAAAATATCATCAAAGAAACTGTAATTGTTTACATAAATCATTTTATTTTTTCAATATTAGTATTAGATACTATTTTTTTATAAAAATAAATAGTATTAAAGATATAAAGAATGTAATATTTACTTGCAATTATATATTTATAATATTATCTTTAATAAATTTTTCAAGATTAGAAAATATCTCATAAAAATTTTTATTGTATATTGAATACAATCTTTTTATAATTTTTATAAATAAATCTGTTACTTTTATATATGTGATAAAAAATGTATATTTTATACTATTAGAATAAAATTTAATGAATTTTTTCATA